TTCTGTACAACCACAGCCCAGCATAGTAAATTTAGTAAGTAACTTTCAACCCCACCTTGCCTGGTTGGTCAAGTACTGTTTAGTACAATGTTTCAATTCACAGAAACCCACTGCTAATCCTGAGATCCTCTAAACTGACCCAAACTTGAGAGTAAGAGTTAGTGATAAAGTGCACCTCACCAGGCATGGTAGCTCACACCTGTTATCCTAGCTACTCAGAAGGCTAAGGATCACAGCTCAAAGCCAGCCCAGGCAGGAAAGTCCAAGAGACTCTGATCTCCAATTAACTTCCAAAAATGAAGTGGAGCTGTGGCTTAAGTGGTAGCATATTAGCCTTGAGCAAAAAAACTTCAGGGACAGTGCTCAGGTCCTGAGTTCAAGCCCCAGGACGTGTGTGTGTGTGTGTGTGTGTGTGTGTGTGTGTGTGTGTGTGTGTGTGTGTGACATGCGTATATGCAAGAAGTTGGGGGCAGGGTCTGCTGGAGGTTCCTGTTTCCTTCTGAAATGCTCTACTGCTTTGACAAGGATTTCCTCAAGGACACTGGGAGGGAGCGGCTCACTTGGCAGGAAGCAATTAGGACAGAAGAGACTAACTTGGCCTCTGGGTAACCATGAACCTGAGGAGGTGACTCAGAAGCCTGAGAAGTTGGGCTTCTGTTTCCAGCTGAAGCCCTGTGGGGGGGGGAGGGGGGAGGAGAGGGGAGGAAGTCGGGGAAGGTGAGAAAGAATGGGAAGTCTTACCCCCTGTCTATCTTGGCATGCAAAGGTACTGGGTTGCCTTCTCCCCAAGTCCCTCACAGTCTCTCACCCAGCCAAGTAAGTCACTTCCTGCTTTCAGTCATGTCCTCCGTGCCCTCCGCCTCCTCCACCTGCTGTTAACAAGCCAGGCTGACCCTGTCAGCCTCTTCAAGGGCTCCCTTTCCTTCCAGGATGACCTAGGCCTTTAATGACCCTCAAGGTCCTGCACAGTCTGGCACCAGCTAACCTCAGGAGCCTCATTCTGCCTCATTCTGCTCCCATTCTCCTTCTGCACTCTGCAATGAGCTACCCCGAGTTAATCTCCCTTGTTTTGTTACAGAGGCTCTTGGGCTTGTCTTCAGACACAAATCATTTCTCTTTCCTGGACTATCTTTTCCCCTGCCTCAGTGATTTTCTCAATGAAGCTTTCACAAACCTCCAACAGCAGGCCTCTCAGATTTATAGTCCACTGTAGTCAACAAGCTTTCTTGTGTATTTCCTTATTGTCCTCCCACCCCCTGCCTTCATTTTTAAGACAATGTAGCCCAAATTGGCTTTAAATTCTCCATTTTCCTGCCTCAGCCTTTCGGATGCTGGGATTACAGGTATGCACTACTATATCGAGCATCATGGAGGTTTTGTTGTTGTTGTTGTTGTTTGTCCATTTAGACAAAGAAAGGAAGGCTCATAGAATAGTAAATCTGGAACTTAAACGCAGGACATCTCCTACCACAAAGGCCATTGCTTATTGTGTTTTCTCAGTCATGGGAATGAGTCATTCATTTTTATTCTCTCTCTCTGTTTCTCTGTCTGTCTGTCTGTCTCTCTCTCTCCTCTAATTTTTTTGTCTTTTTTGGTACTAGAGATCGAACCCAGGATGTTGTAGTTGTTAGACAAGCGCTTTGCCACTGAGTTACATGCCAGCCACTCTCTCTTCCTTTCTCTTCCTCCCTCCCTCTGCCTCTACTTCTTCCATGTTCTTTCACCTGCCACAAGAAAGATGGGTCTCCAGCTCATATCACCACTACTATATTCTGGTCAAGGTTCAAGCTATAAGAAGAAGGCAGCATGTGCTCAAGGGTTTACTAAATATAAGTCAACAGGGCCAAGAATGCTGCGGCAGTGCTGTCCAGGCAAGCTCAAAGGCAAAGGGGGCTGCTCTTGACTTATTGATCTGAAGAAATGTTGGACATAGACTGAAAGTATTGATTAGAACCTAGAAATGCAGAGCCATTAGGTTCAGGAACCCTGAATCTAACCAGCTATCAAGGAGCAACCAGCAAGTCAGAGGGGATGGCAAAAACCTCCGAAGGGTGGAAAGAACCGTTGAGTATCATTGATTTCTTCCAAAGGGAGTCTAGGGAACATTCTTAGAAGTTCTAAACTGTGAATCAGGGCAAGATAATTTGATAACAAGAAACAGAGGCTCACTCGTGTCATCGTAAGTAAAAGGAAATGGATTAGGCAGGACTTGGTTATAAGTGGGCAAAACCTAACAAGCTTAAGAAAACAAAGTGATTTTGGGTTCACATCATTAAGAATGTCAGGCCCTGCTAGACCTAGAAGGTCCATGTGGCAATATCTCTCCTTCTGCTTCGATTTTCTCTCTGCAACCTATTGTCCTTCCAGATGGGCTTCTTCCATGTTTTCAGCTGCTAGAGGGAAAGATGGAAAGCATGGTTTCTTTCACAGACCCTCTCCTGCACTCAGCTCATCTTTCCCGTCTTTATCTGCTGGTCAGCTCATTCTGCTCAGAGACATTCTACCCAAAGCCACTCTGCTTAACATTGCATATAACCACAGCCAGCAAAGGCTCCTCCATCCAGGCCTTGACACAGGCCTGAAAGCCATGAAGCCAGCCAGCCATAGATGGAAGCTGCTGAAACCATGAGTCAAAATAAACCTTTGCTTCTTTTAAGCTGTAGCAAGTGTTTTGTCATAACGGTGAAAGTCTTAAACACAATTGGCTGCTTCCTCCTCCTCTTCCTTCTCCTTTGCTTCCTCTTTTCCTTCTTCCTCTAATTTATTTATTTGTTTATTTATTTGTCCATCATGGGGGCTGAACTCTGGGCCTAGGTGCTGTCCCTCAGCTCTTCAGCTCAAGGCTAGCGCCCTACCACTTGAGCCACAGTGCCACTTCCGGCTTTTTTCTGCTTATGTGGTGCTGAGGAATGGAACCAGGGCCTCATGCATGTGAGGCAAGCACTCTACCACTCTGCCAACTTCCCAGACCCCTTTCTGCCTCCCACTCCCTTCCCCCTTTTATCCTCTTAATGCTGAGGACTGAATCCAGGGTATCACACTTGCAAAGCATAGGCTATACATTTTTTTCTTTTTTGGTCAGTCATGGGGCTTGAACTCAGGGCCTGGGTGTTGTCCTTGAGGTTTTTTTTTCACTCAAGGCTAGTGCTCTAGCACTTCGAGCCACAGTACCACTTCTGGTTTGCTGGCGGTTACCTGGAGATAAGAGTCTCACTGACGGGCTGGGAAGGTGGCTCAGTGGTAGAGCGCTTGCCTTGCATGC